GGTCCGACCGGACCACATTGTAGCAATACATGCTACGAGCGTTCCGACTGGGACAAAGCTTGCATTCCTGCGTCTGTGTTGTTCGTCTTTCATGCAAGAACTTTGAACAGGTACAAGCTAATGATTCTGAAAAAGAGGATACTGATTTTTCTCAAGATTCCGTAATTGTAAGGAAGTTCAAAGATGTATTAACAGACTTAGAGCGCAGCTTTTTTCTTCCTCCGTGAAAACGTTTTAAAATATCGATGCCACTCTCGCGCAAGCTTCCATCAGCGGTGGATCTCCCCCACTTCCAGTCGTCGTATATCCACCACGCATCTAGCAGCCGCTCGTCACAAGCGCACCAATCCGATCATCCGGGTCCGCTACCCTCTCACGGCTGCGACGCGACGCACATCAAATGATGCACCCGGGGCGCTTGGTGCGGGAGGGGGGGTGGGAGGGGGAGCCGCCGCTGGTCTCCTGTGACGGTTCGCCCTGCGGGCGTCGTTGCGCCTGCCACCCCGCCTGAATATTTAATGACGGTTACCTGGCCGGTAGGTGACCTCTGACCTTTCGCGTCGCCACGCGCGGCTGAATTGCGAGCAGGTCTAGGCGTCGAACCAGCACAGTGGCCAGCGGAGACCGCGTTTCATTTGCGCTCATTTCGCAAGCCCAGCGTTCGTCCTATGCCGAGTCAGTTCGCAAGCGTTGTCGCGTTTGACGACGTCCGTTCTGAGCTACCGACGCAACTGCTGGAAATCGACCGCGCAATACCGGCCTGCAACGGCGTGCAAGCGCTTTATTATGCTGCAGCACGTGGGCACTGAATCACGAGGAAACGGCGCGTTTAAACCCGTCAAAACCCGCAAAGTCGGCACGTATTTGATCGTTGGCTAATGGCGGACACGGGCCAAGTTCTTCACCTGAGAACGCGTTTCACTGAATGCTCAGAATACCATTGTCAGAAATGTCACCAAGCCGGATCCCGGGAGTGCAGCGCCAAGCCGCTCACGTGGCTAACTTAGCCACCTCTGAAGTTCACCGTTTAAATTCGGCCGTTGCCGGAGCTGAGTACACAGCGCGGTTTTGCCAAACGGCAGGAGAGTTTATCTTTTCAGAGTGTTGTTGCCGTGTTTCACGTCAGTGTTACGAGGATGTGCGTGTAGCAGTAACCCGTCAACTATGCAAGCACTCAGAAAGCAAGCATTGCAGTACATTCTCTGGTCAAGATATCGCTGGTCAAGTTGTAAGATTTTGAAGTCAGGATGAATCAGCCGATTCCTCCATTTCTTGGTGGCTCTTTATTCAGAACGCACCTGTTTATTTGTTTTAACCACAAAACCACTCTCCCGTGATTCCTAAGACTTAAAAATTGCGGTACGTTAACGTAGTCTTCGGTTATTGCCTAGGTCACGTTGCTTTTAACAAGGCATGACTCCATTCGTTAGGGCACTTACATCCATAACGGCGAGTCATGGCTCACAGTCGCCCGCTGGCAGTGTGACGTGTGGCCATCTGCGACCATCATAGCACTGGCAGTATGACGTGTGGCCATCTGCGACCATCATAGCACTGGCAGTGTGACGTGTGGCCATCTGCGACCATCATAGCACTGGCAGTGTGACGTGTGGCCATCTGCGACCATCATAGCACTGGCAGTATGACGTGTGGCCATCTGCGACCATCATAGCACTGGCAGTGTGACGTGTGGCCATCTGCGACCATCATAGCACTGGCAGTGTGACGTGTGGCCATCTGCGACCATCATAGCACTGGCAGTATGACGTGTGGCCATCTGCGACCATCATAGCACTGGCAGTGTGACGTGTGGCCATCTGCGACCATCATAGCACTGGTAGTGTGACGTGTGGCCATCTGCGACCATCATAGCACTGGCAGTGTGACGTGTGGCCATCTGCGACCATCATAGCACTGGCAGTGTGACGTGTGGCCATCTGCGACCATCATAGCACTGGCAGTGTGACGTGTGGCCATCTGCGACCATCATAGCACTGGCAGTGTGACGTGTGGCCATCTGCGACCATCATAGCACTGGCAGTGTGACGTGTGGCCATCTGCGACCATCATAGCACTGGCAGTATGACGTGTGGCCATCTGCGACCATCATAGCACTGGCAGTCCGTAAGTTCTCGGCGATATGTGCTACAGAACTACATCCCCCGCAGATGCCACCTCGCTCCAAGCGTGATAAACGTCCTGATCTGCCTCGAAAGATTCCCAAAAATGGAAGGATTCTGATCCGGCGGAGGCCCCATGAAAGCATGTCACACCCCACCGAAAAGTTGTTGGCGCATCCCGCACGCAGCCTTTTATAGTGAGCCTTCTGTAAAGCAGCCGAATCGGGGTTTGCGTCGTAACCCTGTGTAACCTCAAGTAACCTCAAGGGCATCATAAGCCCGAGTGCGCCATAAGCTATCCGTCATGCACCAAGGTTTAAAACTTACTTATTGTCATGAACCATGATGCATTATATCACAACCCATGGTCTATCAGATCACCTAGCGATCGCCTAGAGTTTTTGATACATTACTCGTGACACCCTAAGCCAAAGCAAAGCCGTCTTTGCTAGGTTTAAGCAAAGCCGACCCAAAATCAATGACCTCAGGTCATGTTGCATCCGGCCGCGATTGGGTTCATGTGGTATTTGTATGCCAATAACATATTTCGATTTGACTTGACCTTTTTTGACCTGAGGTGATGTGTTGATCTGCCTCGACTGCGCGGCTCGTGCCATGACCTGACATTAAAGAAAAGTGTTTGTTTCTTGGGCGTGTAAGACATATGGATGTTTTGATGCAAATGATATACTGGCCCAGGATGACCTGAGGTTAAACCACAGAAAGTTAATTGGTCCGTTCTAAGAAAAATCCTTTCCGTTCGTCGGTTTGGCGTGACTTTACAGCCACTTTCCCCGAGTCAAGACGCGATACAGCTAGCGTTTTTCCAACTTCACCTGGTGTGATCTAATAAACTATCTACCATATTTTGGCTTGCAAGCACAAAATGTCATTACCGTCGTCGCGCCCTGAGCCAAATGACCAACTGATTTGGCTTGCGAATCCTTGATGGCTTCTTAAGGCTGCAAGCTAACGCTCTGCACGATTTGACGGACCTAGCTCAATCCATGGCTGACCAGAGATGGGCCCTGGCTCAAACCATGCTTGGCCTGAGAAGGGCCCGAGCTCAATTCATAGTTGACCAGAGATGGGCCCACGTGCAATTCATGGTTGGCCTAAGATGGGCTACAGCTCAATCCATGGCTGACTGATTCAGCTATGAGACAATGAACCGAAACTGTCGTAGAAGACTAAATGAAAGCTGACCAACCGAATTTACACCAACGGAAGACTTGAAACTAGCTTTACGTTTTGTTTAGTGTAAAACTATGCTTGGCATCCATTTAGTGTCGTTTTGAGCTGGACAACATAATAACATTATCAATATCAATATCTATCAAAATGCCACTAAAACGTGTTGCCAAAATTCAAGTTTGCAACGACGTAAATGCTGATGAGGACGTGATGAGGACGCATGTGACCTGAGCTTCACGCGACGTGCGCTCACTAATGGTACTGTGTCTTATCGCTTGATGTCCTATTCCCGATATCTTGCAAGTGATCTCGAGACCTTTAGCCAGAAGTTTTAAGCGGTCGTCCATGTGTACGTTAATGTTCTCAGCACTGGCTTAGAAGGACACCTGTAGTGACTCTTAAACCCACGGTACATCAATCGCCGTTGGTGTAAAATCAGCAGCCTAGCCACTGTGCACCATAGGGTGGCAAAGTATCGCATAGACCACGTAAAGTGAGGATAGTTGTAACCATTCCCTCCTTGGTGCTTCGTCTGTCATGTCCTTGTCCCCGGCGACAACAAAAATGGCCAAATAAAATATGACCGTGCCGAGCAAACAGGTCTGGTCCATTTGGCTGTCACCAGACAAATTGAGTAACGACTCTGAGAAACAAAAACCATCTTCCTAAAAATAAAAGGACTCCGGCGTCAGCGCTCATTGTTTCAGGCTTAAATAGGTGGAGACAGACGCTTTCAGAGGTCTGGGGCTTCCATAGTACTGCGCAAGTTTACGATGCAATAGGTTGCCGTAACATGGCCGACGGAAGTTTGGAAAAAGTGCCGTAGGGATAGCAGCTTGAGATTAATTGGGACGGAGGTTACAAGACAGAAATGTGCGGAGCAGCTTCAGATCCTGGTACGTGCTCGAGAGATCAGGACGCGGGTGTACTTATGGTCAAGGAAGCATCTAACATCTCTTCACTTCCCGAACCGTGTCGAGAGAACCCTTCTCCGAAAAAATCAACTTTGGAAATGGTGGAGCAAATCTTCCAAGCTTCGACTCTCTCTCTCTCTCTCTCTCTCTCTCTCTCTCTCTCTCTCTCTCTCTCTCTCTCTCTCTCTCTCTCTCTCTCTCTCTCTCTCTCTCTCTCTCTCTCTCGCTCTCGCTCTCGCTCTCGCTCTCGCTCTCGCTCTCGCTCTCGCTCTCGCTCTCGCTCTCGCTCTCGCTCTCGCTCTCGCTCTCGCTCGCGCTCGCGCTCGCGCTCGCGCTCGCGCTCGCGCTCGCGCTCGCACTCGCACCCGCACCCGCACCCGCACCCGCACCCGCCACCCGCACCCGCACCCGCACCCGCAACCCGCACCCGCACCCGCACCCGCACCCGCACCCGCACCCGCACCCGCACCCGCACCCGCACCCGCACCCGCACCCGCACCCCGCACCCGCACCCGCACCCGCACCCGCACCCGCACCCGCACCCTCACCGCACCCCCCGCACCCGCACCCGCACCCGCACCCGCACCCGCACCCGCACCCCGCACTCGCACTCGCACTCGCACTCGCACTCGCACTCGCACTCGCCACTCGCACTCGCACTCGCACTCGCACTCGCTCTCTCTCTCTCTCTCTCTCTCTCTCTCTCTCTCTCTCTCTCTCTCTCTCTCTCTCTCTCTCTCTCTCTCTCTCTCTCACTCTCTCACTCTCTCACCTGCTCGATGATGGCGTGATCTCCCAGGGGGGCTGTAGTCCGACTCTGACCTGCGGGCAGCGCCGACCTGGGGTCAGGTCACGCCGACACGAGAAAAAAATGATGCATGAAATGCTGAAACGAGCATATATCGAAATCAGAGGGCGTGTTATCCCATCTCGGCAGATGAAGGAGAGGGGACATTTTCAGCATTGGTTTTCGGGGACCCCCACGGATGTTGATTTCACTGCACTCGGCTCGGTGCTTGCTGCTCTGAGCTCTGATTCAGAGATTGGCAAGGGTTGAGCGTGATATTGAACATCATTCACACCATCATTGTCACCACCATTATTTGACACCATTATGAACAGCCATCAATAAGCCTCTGATTGTTTTTAGAGCTAAGATGTTCATGCTAGTTGTGTAATCGTATGGATGCTACAGAGAGTTAGAAGCCTCACTGTTTTGAACGTGAAAAGTTCATGTGCTTAGATCGTGAAGGTAGCTATTTGTTACAAAGATAGTTTTGCCTGGCGCGTGTTGCCGGAATCTCGAGGCATCCTGGCAGGGATATGCCAGGTAAAGTGGACCAGATTCAAAAAGCTTTTCTTTCGGGAAGTTCCAGTAACTAGCTCCAAGTGCGTGTCAATCTTGTAGGCACTCGCATACGAGAAACTGAGATAGCCGCCAGGAGTACCGCTTTCTTGAGATAGCCGCCAGGAGTATTGCTTTCTTGAGATAGCTGCCAGGGGTAGCGCTTTCTTGAGATAGCCGCCAGGGGTAGCGCTTTCTTAAGATAGCCGCTAGAGGTAGCGCTTTCCATTTAAAATGTCTCTACAAGAGAGTTTCTGGCGTTTATGGCACACGTGCATAACATGGTAAGAAATATAATTGTGACGCCAGCTAACTATTTCCTTTGATGCTGGTTGAAAAGATAACTTTAGACAGGTTCGTTCCATGTGCAAATTGGACAACTTGTTCATGCAAACCTTTGGGTTGTGCTGATGGACCCTGGTAGGTCATAACAGAGATGCGAGTCATTGGCGAGCATCAGGTTTAAAATATCACTGGCGTGGTGCCACTTTATTCTGTTCTATGTGAGTCATTCAGTTTGCTTAACTTGAATCATTAAACTCTGAAATGATCGCTTAACGGGTTACAGCCTATCGATGCGTGTAATAGTTTATATAGCATAAAATAAGCACATGCATAATTATATACCCATCACAGCATCACGACAGCATCTCCTCTTCAACGGAATGGTAGTGTTATCTTGTGGCGTGAGGAAATCGCTGGCAAACGCCTGAGGGATGTTAGATATCTCACTAGGTGGCAAGTTGTAACTTGCAGCAAACATGATTAAGGCCGCAGCAGAAAAATTTGCACCGGTGATGGCCATGTTCAAGATCATTTTCTGCCTCACTACCGCTATAAACACACGGCGAATGCTGCCACCACATAACCTAAAAATGATGCGTACAAACATAAAGCGCCTATAACGTCTTAATATAAATTGCAACCTTCGAATAAGGAAACAAGACAGCTGGAATTCACAGTCGTCTGGTCATTTCTAAATGTTCAATTTCAAGACTCATTACCAACTTACGCCATGTTTGTTTGAGTTGCGTTCGCTTTGGAGGGAAACGTGAATACGCAGCAAACAACATGGCGTGCAGCAGAAGACGGCGAGTTCCGTTTCGCTACAGCCCGGTGATTTGGGGGAAAATTTCTTCCATTGATGGAAGAAGTGTGCTTTACAAGCCCAAATGAAACAGAGCATGCCAGAGTAAGGTAATCACTGCAAGTTGCCGTGGCGGGATTCGGTGTTCCATAAGCATTCTGGTGTCCTACGCGCGAACATCAGCTCGAAATCGCGGAAAATGTCCGAGTTCAAACAGAGCTTGCTGTCTTATCGTATGGGCACCGCGGCAGACGTGCTCTGGCAATGACAGCACAGTGGATGAATATGTTTCATGATAGTGACGTACCGAAAGAGCGGGAGAATGCGTCAATGTCACTCAGCGAGACATTTCTACACCTAGTTTTACTTCTCCTAAGGACTCAGTTTAACGTTGGATGATAAAATTCACTGAAATAATTGGCCTCAGAATCACACAGACATGCAGACATAGCAATCCGACGGGACGTCGAAGGTCGCGTGGTGTTTACCAATGACTTGCAGCTCTAATGTGACTTACCCAACCTCAATAGTACGAACCCAGGATCTGCGTGAACAATGCGATCAATTTGCCGCTGGAAGAGATTATTTCACCCACTTGAGCATACGAGACTGTAACGCACGAAACTTTTCAGCAGAGGTCATTCTTACTGTAATGCGCTATCCTTACAGCGGTTATCGCAGGAAACTCGTGTCTTACATGTGATAACCTAAGGCCTTGACGCGTGTTTTGAGCTGGCTTCGGAAATTATCCGATCGAAAACGGTTTTTCATCCCACCTTAAATTGGCAATGGCTGGCGGAAGGCAATAAGACCGCTCAGAAAGTAGCCGATGGTAGTCACCGAGCTCTCCTCACGTGGTTGTACGGCTACAATGCGCCGTTACAGATAGTACAGCTTCGCTAACAGCTGCTGGGTTCGGTTTGCTTCACGAAGGTGAGAGCTCTACGTACTACATCTTCTACCCTATTTTTAAGATGCACATTTTCGCCCATTTCGTGTATATTGGGCAGTCCTTACATCCCACCAACAACTCATGAGAGCTGGGCTCTTGAACACCGCTCGATTTCGCCGGCAAAAACATAACGCAACCCACTGGTGTAACGCAGCGACAAAAGGAGCTGTAACACTAACGTGTTTCACTTATGCACGGTGCAGTAAGTGCGAAGTCACACCCAGATGAGATGGACTGACTAACAAATTATCACCAGCATGTAATTCAATACCAAAGAGCCAACACTCGTGGATGCTCAGACATCAGTGGCGCAACATCCCACATAAGCACTCGTGTCATTTTGTTACAAGCTGTGCTGTAAGACCTGCGTGTCACAGTATGCACTGGTTGGTGCGTTTGTTTTTTGTGATCGGCGTTGGAATGGTGCAAGTTGTTTATTTGCTGTCATACCATGCAAATATGCAACGTTGCTGACGCTTTAGCACGTAGTTGTTCAAAACCGCATCAATTATTGGTGTGAAATTAATTCCAAGGGAATGGTTGAAATAGAAGAGCGCTCATGGGTGCAACTGGTGACATTATCAACAGGCAAAGATGTCAGCTGCTTTGGCGCACCATTAAAAACACCATTCCAGAGTTGCTTAATCACGATAGTTGTCGAAAGAGAACATATCTAAAGCCAAACGATTAAAAGGAAACATATCTATAAGCAGCGATTTAGTTCCGCCAGAATGCAGCGCGTGACGAGGGAGGCGATGGCGTGTGCCACAGCCATTTCTCACCGCAGCAAATGGCGCCAGAACCAAGCTAATGGAACCACACACCTTTGGCAGCCGATACCAATGTGCTTGATTAGCCCGTTGGAAGTTTGCCTTTAAAGATAGATTAAAGGCGGCAGCTTATTGACTCCGGCTTTACAAACACCATAACTAAAACGTGGCTGGTTGTGGGTCTGGCTGGCGGTGGATTTGCAATTATTTACGGTTGAGGTAGTAATTTTGTGATGCAACCTGTGACATTTGTGACCAATGTCATGGCGCTGGTGACAAAAAACTGCAAAAGCGTAAATATTTCGGATCTATGCAGCTAACCATACGCAGTACTAAACGCCGTGCAGTTCTCACGGCGAAATTTCTCAGTATGGGGGGCGGCGTCAGGAATCTGGACCGGTTTTGGACTAGATGACTGACCACTTTCCAGTCGAGTGCCGGTTTGCATAGTGGTCGGTTGGTCTGGAGGCTTTGAAACATTTTATCAAGGTATAGCAGGTACATTTGTCTCCTCCGCGCAGTGGACTTCAAGTCTTGATCTGCTCGGGTTGTTGCAATTTGACCTCGATCATATTGAAAAGGCCCAACACGAGCGGATCCATCGTTAGGCGTACGAGCACGTGAACTGTACGCATTGAGCAACACTCTCGTCCACTGCCCGTGTTTCCCTGTCACAATATTTTAGAACATCGTCCCTGCTACACTGGGTGGCTGACATTTGGGCCCGTTTTCGGCCTGCTTTCTTCACCTCTTTTGCAATCAGATAATGTTACGCTTTCGATGTTAATCGAGTTTAAATGCCAGCTCATGGTAACACTGCAATGCCGCAGGAGAGTTACATCCGATCAAACGTACATATGTAAGTGCCTAACAAATGATATGACACAACGTTTAAGCCATTAGGCCATATTTCTTGTCACTGAGAACTGCATCGGCTTAAGAAAAGCCGCTGCACAGTTCTTAGCTTTTAGAAAGCGCGAAGGTCCTATCAGAACAAGCAGGTGGACTTTGGTGGTCTTTCCGCCTCTTGGGGATGGACAGAACCAAACTAGTCTTTGCAAGTGGCCCAAGTAGAAAACTTTATCATAGGTCAAGCAAGACCCACTCGGCCAGCCGTATCCCTCTCGTCGATTTTGCCAGGCAGCTTAATGAAATACGATGTTCTGTTTTGATATGCACCCAATACATGAGCCAGGGTAGCCTAATGTAATTAGCTAAGAGATGTCTTCCTGACATGACTGGATCAGTTAGTACCGTTTCTGGCCATAAGCCTTACTGAAAGCTTCCCCAGCGTTGAGCTGTTTAGCTCAAGGAAACCGGAGTGCTCAGTCATAAAATCGCGAGTTATCGTATGGCTCGCCCTGTTTATTGTGCGCAGTGTCCTGGCCTGCTTTGAGAATTCCCAAATATATTCTAGAAAAAGAGGAAGTCAACGATTCTCCGTTCTTTTTCCCGTGCGCACCGCTGACGCGTGATGCTGCCCACGAACGCATTAATTGATGAGTACTGCGTTCATATAGTTGATTACATTTTCGGGCAAAACACTGCATTGCTTTACGTCGGTAGGTTTGATCGCGCTTTTATAACACTCGCCGTTGGAGCACGTCGACAGAGCAGCCTATCACAAACCGTCCTCAGACAAAACTCGTTATTAACGCAGCGGTATCACGTTTGTTTGAGAACTCCGATCTCTAATATGAAGTTGCCTGTGTGAGAACTCACTTGTTTGTTGTTTGTTTGAGAACTTTGTTTGAGAGATCATATTTCTTTGAGAACTCCGATCTCTAATAGCCTATGTCAACAGCATTGTACCTCTTGAAAGCAGCGAGCTTTCATGAGGAGAGCATTGACGTCGATATAAACTAAGAGAGGAGTGGGATGGGGGCAGGCGACTTGGTCGGCTGGGGAGGGCGACGGCGCGGCGACCGACGGCCTTCAGCCACTGTCTCTCACCTCGGAAGTTGACCACGATGGCTTTCTCCCCTTTTGCAGTGACGCCCTCCAGCGAATGAAACACCACCTTAATTGACATGGTTCAGCCTCCGCGATGTCTGCCTGTGGCCAACTCACGCCGGAGCCACGCCTTAAGCACGCGCACCTAGTCAGCGCCCACCTGCCGGCTGGCGCCTGGCTACACCGCACGTCAGCGGTCGCTGTCGGTCGCACCCGACCCAAGCCGTGGTGTCCTCCGATCAGCTCTCCAGATCTACGGACAGCTCTGCAGCCGTGCGACACCCCGACTGAGCGACTGGCATCGTTTCTGGACACGGGGTCGCTCACATCACAATTAACATCCGGCCTATTTCTGCAGCCACTGCCTGGTTTAGTCCTGGGTAATCGGAGACACTCGGCCTGCTGCTGCGGCCACTGTCTGGTGTAGCCCCGGGTAGCCGGGGACAGTCGGCTTGCTGCTGCGGCCGCTGCCTGGCGCCTGGCGTAGTCCAGAGTAGCCGGAGACAGTCGGCTCGGCTGACGTCCGGGCGTGCCTCACTTCCGTGTCCGCCTCAGCGACGTCGTCCGCTCCCTCGGCGACGGCAGCGCCTCACAGCCCACGTGCGCCGGCTCTCTTCACACACCTCTTCCCCGCGTGAGCTGACCCTACTGTCGGACGGCCCCCGGCCGCGGGTGGCCTCCCGAGGCGCCAACGGAGCGGCGCTCGACCGCGGCTTGCTAGCGACCGACCGACACTGCCCGGCACCGAGCCGGTACTGACGCCTTCCACCGTCCGCGCCAGGCATGCGCCCGCCGTGCCGTGGCTGCCGACGGTTGCGTGAGAGACAGAGGCGTGGTTGGTGCCGCGGCCAGGTGCGCGCTCGGCCGCCTGTCCGAGGCCGTGCACGCGGCCGCCGGTGTCAGGTATGGGGCGCAGGAACAGGACTACGGGCCCCACGTTTTGAGAACATTTAGCGTTAACCCTATGCGAGCTTAGCACTAGTCCTAACCCTAGTCCTATCATACCTTTGGCAGTGTATTGAAAGAACCAATTTCAAAATTGGCATTGCCCCTCATGCCTCCCTCCTCCCCCACGCCCGCTTTCGATGAAGTTCCTACGCCTAAGGGTCAGGCAAGGTCAAGAAGACCGCCACAGGGGAAGACTGCCGTGAGCTTGCCATTGTTTTGCCGCAAAACAGAGTATACAGTCATTCAAATCCGCAATCCCATAAGATCTCGCAGTATTCCACAGGCTTCCAGTTCTGAAATGCACGGAAAAACGATGAGCTTCGTCTCCGGTTCCTTCTGTTTTCCGTGCATTTAAGAATTAGGTATGTGCCAGTCTAATAAAGCTAACGTGGAAAGGGCTGAAGTATATGTAGACGCTTATTACCCAAGCGCAGGAAACGTGACAATTTCCACGACGTTCCTAGCATCGGCGCTGACTTGGGGCAGATTCAGGTCGTAGTTTGTTGATACAAGCACCGGTGACTGGTCACAAAAACCAAAACACAACAGATGGCATCAGGAAATAGACTACCGTCATTGTTACTATTCCTTGTTTTGGGGGACACGGGGGAGATTCCAGAGTGTGGTCCATCCCACGGTTCTAAGGTGCTCCAGCCCTGTCTCACCACAACATTTTAGCGGGGTAAATGAAAGCAGGTGAGTTTTCTTACCTAAAAATTATCCCTAGATTGGGTGTGTTTCCGCTCACACTAATGGTTCTAGAACCACGATGGGGGCATCACTGATTGTCCAACTCTCCGGGCCAAGAGCTTTTTAAGGGAAGAGTTTCACAACCGCTAACAGGAATTGCATACTCATTCACATGGGGAAACACAAGGCTTCGGAAGTGCTGGGACATGATGCAGCAAACAGATGAGATTAGCAGAGGGAGTAAGCAGTGAAGAACATCGGAGAAGGATCGTGCATCCTGAGAATGAAAAGTAATTAATGAGCAATGTCTGTAAAGTACATCGGAACAAAATATCCAGGTATGATGCTGGTATCACGTATGCCAAACCTGTGCAATTGGTATGACAATTATTTTAACAGCATCAGATAGTTCCTGAACCGTGCTTGCCTGCTTGGAAAAACAGTGCAAAAAAATTCACGGTGCAAATGATCCTCTTTCCATTTTGCGGCACGCTGCATTGTTTTAGACGTACAGTTGCGAATCGTAAAAAATCGGCTGATTTTCGGTAATTAATCGAGATGCCATCCTTATACATCCTACATGGCCCTGCAATGCTGGCCACCTTGATTTTTTCACGGAAATATGTCACTTGTAGCCAGGAGATCCAACTTAGCTTGGTTGCTACCTGTGCAACTTTGAGCATTTCTCAGAACTGAAGATGGTGGCCGCCATCTTGAAGGTGACGCAGTTTCAAAGTTTTTTTTCGATGGGTTGAATGGTCGTGTGCCACCGGTTTAGTGTGTTTTTCTATAACGCGAAGTCTATTTCTGCCGTAATTTGTAATGTAAAGAGTCAAAGTCAATGTCAAATCGTGATTCAGAAGTCCAACGACTTGATTATAACTCACCATAATTCCCTCTATTTATCGATAACTGTCGTTTGCTGTCTTCTCGGGATCATTATAAGGGTACCACTCGCAGAAGCTGTATGTGTTAAATGCTAGAACATCTTCCGTACTTCCTTGTTTGCTTGCTCATTGTAAGGGTGCAACTAGCAGTAACTGCGCGTGCTGTAAATCAAATAATATGGTATGTGTTTTAAAAGGGAACGAAGATGATCTCCTCACAATAATTAGATTGGTAATGTTCGTCAAGTAAGCTGTATTTTTTATTAATCTTCGGGCATGGACCTTGCTCACAGAGTCAAAAATGAATATATATATATATATATATATATATATACATTTTTATACATTCCTCACATGATAATAATAGGTATTTTATTTGTGGCTCTGTGAGCAGGATCTGTGACTTAAAATTCCTCAAAATCACAACTTGCTTGACGAACATCACATATATGATTATTGTCAGGAGACCATCTCAATTCTCGCTAAATACTCGTCACCCCTTACATCCCGCGAGCACTGTACTATCTAAAAAAGGGTTTTATACACGATGCATGTTTATAGGAGACTTTAACACGTACATGGACATGACCTATCGGATGTGCTATAGTGTCCGTTCAGAGAGTCGTCGCTGCAAAGCGATACGACACAAGCAGCACACAACTCTGCCAGGATGTGACACTTAAGCTCACAAATTACGTTGCTGTACCCCGTCCATCGAGGAGAAAAGCAATGAAACAATAAAGTCTCCGCGGGCTCATATCGTGATTCCTCAAAAGTTGCTTTTGTCCCATTATACTGACTTTGATTTGAAGCGAGGGTGTCTGCTGTCTAGAGAATAGTGAAGGGCTGGAGACAGCTAGGCCAGTGCAGCTGGGTACAGGTCAAACCGTGTAAAACCGCAAACAAATAAAGGCGTTCAATCAAACACAGTAAGAACCGTTGTAGAACCTTTGGGACTGAAGTGATAGCACTTATACTCAGTGGGGTGATTGATCTGTATGCTGATGGCCCTCAGTCCTATGCCCCTTGTTCTAATCGTCTCTGTGCTGTTCTCGTGCACCGTCCACCAAGCAGTCTACCCACATCCTCTTGGTCGAATGATCTCGAGCTGACTTTAGGTAGTCACTCGCTCCCAGTATCTCTTGTTTCCATTTAGTAGAAGACATGCAGTAGCACGGCGATAATGAGGTGGTATACCCTTAGGGCGTTGTTCCACGCCTTCGCCCTTGTGCTGTTGGCGAAGCCGCCACCAAACGCTGCGTGCATAGTTACGCTCACGACAGATCCCCCCCCCCCCCCATCAGTGTTCCTTCACAGTCCAAAACACTCATGGGTGTGTGCATCATGCCCGAGTGAATATGAGATTGGTACGGCGCTGAGGGTCGTTGTATTAGACTAGGTATGCGGTCTAATGCAAGTGGAGGTCGGCTTTGACATGGATGTGCTGCATCCCGAGAGCATTGAGAGTCCTTTCGAGACATACACACGAGACATACATACGCACAGACAAGAGGGTGTCTGTTCGACAGCTGACTGACCATCGACCCGAATTCCACCAACTTTGCCTTTAGGGCAGAGTCCGGCTTCAAGGCTACACTGCTGACGCATGTTTCTGCGCGGAGGGTGGAACAACGACTCCTTCAGGAGCACTGTCTGAAGGAAATGCTGGCGTATTTCTTTGTGGCAGGTCATCACGATCATGCTCACTAACTGAGCTGACATATGGGACAGATGAAGCACGTTCCCCAGCACACCAGGGAAAAGGTTCTGGCAAGCGCGCACGCTTACTGGCACTCGGACAGCGAGACCGCAGTTCCAGCAGATCAAATGTTGGTTGACTTCGGGCAACTGCTGTACCGCGTCATCTGGTCAGTTCCTAGGACCGCAGAAGGCCTGATTGAACGTTTGGAGACTCGTCTGGCCCACTTCAGTCCTAGCCCCCCCCCCCCCGAAGGAGCGTCCCCGTAACCCCCACCCCCAACTCGAAAAAGAGAAGTTAGAGGCGTTGCCAACTTTTGATTGGAGCGTCAAAGTCTCCATCATCATATCGGTCGTCTCAGCAGCAGTTACTGCCGAAACGTTCTATATGAGTGGCCTGTAGCTGCACCATTGACCTCGTAGCCCGAAGATAAGTCCAGAAATGAATTCATTACCCATGATAGCCCCCATAAAGAGATATTGAACACCCATCCATGTCATCCAGATCAAAACAAGAAAATTTGGTAGCATTCAAGACAGCAACGGCAGCCATCTTGAATTCTGAGAAACGCTCAAGGTTTAACAACTAGCACCCAAGCTAATTTGGCTTTCCTTGTTCTTTAGAACATATGCGCTTCAAAAAACTGAGCAGCAGTTGATATTGCAGGATCAACATTTTGGCAACTTGACTAATTTGTCAACTTCCGTTCAGAAGTCGGCTAAACGAAAGCCGTGAAGTGTCAAAGTTAAGTTAATCAAAGCGCCATTTGAAACATGAAAGGATTTGATGTGGTGGTTGATGTAAGCCAGTGCTTTCAGGGCTCTGATGAAACTCTTGATTTATGATACTGCGTGT